TACCTGTTTGCGGTTGGTTACTGACCGAAGCCTTTCGTTGGCTAAAGCAATAAACGCCGTAAGTTTCTTATAGAATTGCATTATATATATATATATATATATATATATATATATATATATATTGTAAAGCTGCATAATGACCAATTAATGTAATTCCTCATTGCTTATAAATAATTCTAACTTAAATTAACCCAACAAACTGAACATCTACCTCAACATTTGCTTATCTAACTGAAGAGATTGAATTTGTCAAAGAAAGATGATAAACAAAATATCCTACACTTTGATCGCTCATATTACTACTTAGCAGACATCGTAAACCCGAATCCCTGTACAGAATATATCATAATGTCTGTTAGATGTCGATTTGAAAATCTGCTTGATAAAAGTTATTTACACATCCACTATTTCGTTATTCATTGACCAGTTACCTATTGTAAACAGTGTTAATCGTAAACTTTTTTCCAAGTGTAATGAATGTCTTATACGCTTATTTCTTATTCTTTGTTTAATTCTTTCAGATAATATTATCTGAACCGAAACTTATAGAAAAAGTCAAATTTATGAATGTATTGGAACTTCATCGACAACAGTATCTTGTCTATCAACTTCTACGTGAAGTTGCTGAATACTCACAAAATACTAAGGATGAAGAGCAACAATTCCCAGGTCGTAAAGCTAAAAATCACATTGAACCAAGTGATGATTCGCAGTTGCAAAAAGTTTTCGAAATCATCTTATCTCAAATTACTCCTTCTGGTAAGTTCATTTGTCTGTACGAAAATGGTTTGTTGTTTTTCACATAAAAGCTTCTGAGTAAACCCTGTCAGGACAAACTATTCTAAGTGCTCCCTATCTGTAAAACTTGACTCTCGAAGGTAGTAGACATTCATAGGTTACTACTTCTATGAATTTAGTATTCATCTTGTTGTGCCAATGAGGTGTGGCAACTTGGTCCGATGTATATATGTGCCTAGTCCTACGTTGTAGCTGACTGAGTATTTGAGTATAATTCCATTCGAAATTGGTTGTGTTATTTGGGATCACCGAATGAGCAATGTTGAGATTAGATTCAGGGTACTAGACAAATAAATTAGTTGACAATATTTTAAATCTTTGACTAAAGTGATTGAAACTCACATCATATGTGGACAACCACTACTTACCTCGACGCGCATTGTTTGGTTACTTAGATATGGATTGGAAGAAAACTAGGCTTTGCCAAACGAAGTGTGACACCAGTTCATGAAGTCATTTGCCGTTAGTCCAAAACATGTTGTTAGGTACATGCTACCTGGTTGGGGTCTCCGCGTTTATCGTAAATAGTGGTTAGAGACATTAGGTGACATGGTTCAGAATCGGTCTCAATGGCCTAAATGCACTCACTTGTCTTCTCTTACATTCATACTTTCTATCCTTCAAACTTATCCCTTCTTTTGGAACCAACTTTTCCATTGTTTTATCTTTCTTATTATCATTGGTACTTCTACTTTTGCGACTTTGGTATTTCTCGTGTTAATGTCATCTCGCTTTACCGATATAGTATGGCAATTTGTACCAGGTTTACATCGACTTACTAGTTCTCAGTGGGTATTTAGATAAAGCTAGTCCGTGCTGTAAACTAAATCCACTGAAGTGTCGGTTATCAAAACTAGTACAATTGAGAATTAATTTGAGTTTATTTTATGTTTCCTAAAGTAAAGTTATTTTATTTCAGTTGTTAGAGAAAATTAATGTACAATGAGTCTTTCTGAAATTTATAAAGTATTGTCGGTTGGGTTGCACTGGAATAGTAACGTAAAATTATGTTGGGGATGTTAGATTCCCAGAACTCACTTGGTAAATGCCTTAATTTTATAACATTTTGGAAATTTAAATTTCCTCGTTTTCGCACCAAAAGCGCACTTTTCACCTTCATGTCGTATTTCCCACTTGGGAGAATCTTTAACGCTATTGGTCCGTTGTGCATTTTTAGTATGCTATTTTTGCTACGCTTCCCAAGGACAGTTTTATGCTGTATATATATGTTTGATTCGTGTCTGTTATTATTCACTCGTGCTTCTGGCTTACGGAATATACTTTCCCGTTCCAAGCTTGGGCTTCTTCCTCTAGTTAGTGGGGCTGGGACGCATCAGATAACTAGCTTATTGGTTTGCGGTCACAAGTCTTTGTTCCGTCCGCATACTAAGTGAACTCGTAATAGCTTCAAACCTAGCAAACTTGGCGATAGTGGTTTCAGAAACATGGATCCTTCTAAGCTTGAATTATTACTCGAGCAGCAGTTGAAACTAATGCAAATGTTGACAGACATCACACAGCCTAGCACATCTAATGCAACCACAACACCTTCAGTAGACGGCATCGCAAATAGCATTGCTGAGTTTCATTATGATCGTGATACCAACGTTAGTTTTGACATGTGGTTCCTTCGTTATGAAGACCTATTTAAATTTGATTTTGCTAACCAAGATGATGCTTGGAAGGTTGGGTCCCAGTGAACTAGACAGGTATTGCAACCTAATTCTGCCTCTAAACCCACGCAATCGCTCGTTCTCGGACACTGTCCAGTCATTGAGCCAACAATTCGGAGACAACTCACTATTCAATGCGCGCTATCGATGTTTGGAGCTCACTATGAACGGAAATGCTGATCTTCTCACACATGTGGGTATCGTCAACCGAGAATGTGAACGCTTCCAGTTGAAGTCGCTTACTAAAGACCAATTTAAAGCCCTCATTCTTATCTGCAGCCTTCAATCTCAGAAGTTCAGTGACATTAGAACACACTTGCTAAGTCGATTGGACCAAGACCCAAAACTAGCTCTTAATGATATTGCTAACGAATGTCAACATCTAATCAATCTGCAGCGTGACACTGTGATGGTCCAGCGTGGTGGTTCAGATCATACCGAAGTTCATGTAGTCCAACAACCACCCAACCCGCATAAATCTGCCCCAGCGACATCTAGTTCAGGTCAACAGAGAAAAGTAAATCCTCCTGCCCCATGTTGGCACTGCGGTGCATGGCATTTTGTTCAAGGCTGTCCATATAAACAACATCAGTGCAGGAAATATAAAGCTGTGGGTCATAAAGATGGTTTTCGTCAAAAAAAGGAGCCGGACAGCTCCAGGGGTACCAGAAAGCCTGCCCCTAGATCTGGCACAAATTCGTTGAGTCTAGTAGCAATCTGTCAGAACTCAACCCCAGGTGAGAGGAAATTTATTACCCTTAATATTAATGGGCATCTGTTTAGATTGCAAGTAGACACTGCATCTGACGTAACAATTCTCTCACGAAAATATTGGACCAGAATGGGAAAACCACGCACGGTGCCAACGACACAAAAACCTCGTACTGCGTGCGGTAATTATCTACGTTTGTTGGGACTAGATTGTAAAGTTTCTTTTCACGACTCGACGTTTACCGGGGTATGTTACATCACATTAGCTGATCTTAATCTACTTGGTTTAGACTGGTTTGACCGGCTACATTTAAATGACGTTCCGTTAAGCACCGTATTCAATCTGGTGAAACAACCTCATGAACATGAAGCATATTCGAAAGAACTAATGACGGATTTTTCAACCATTTTCCAGCCTGTATCGGGTAAGTGCACTGCTATGAAAGCAACATGTCGGTTGAAACCTTGGCTAAACTTGTCTTCCGTCCAAAGAGACCAGTGCCGTACGCATCATTATCGAAAGTTGACAAAGAACTAAATAGCCTTCAACTGCAGGGAGTTATTACACCTGTTTCTTATTCTGCCCAGGAAACACCCATTGTAGTTAAGAAGGCTAATGACACAATCCGAATATGCGCAGATTTTTCCACAGGTCTTAACGCACCTCTCGAACAGCATCATTACCCACTGCCAGTCCCGGCAGATTTGTTCACGATGTTAAATGGTGAGAAGTTGTTTGCGAAGCTGGATGTCGCTGATGCCTACCTACAAGTGGAAGTGGTTGAAGGTTCGAAAGAGTTACTTACCATAAATACTCATGGTGGCTTGTTTCAGTACAATCACCTACCATTTGGTGTTAAAACAACTCCATCTATTTTTCAGCAACTAATGGATACCATTCTATCGGGTCTCCCGGGTGTCGCAACTTATCTCGATGAAATCTCAATTATTGCCACGTCGTTAGAACGGCTTCAAGAACTCACGACAGCGGTGCTACAACGCGTCAGCGATAACGGATTCCGATTACGCCCAGGAAAGTGCCAGCTTTTCTTGAAGTCAGTAAAATACTTGGGATTCATCTGTGATGCCGCAGGTCGCAGACCAGATCCTGAAAACATCCGAGCTATAAAACTGATGCCGACTCCCAGTAATATCTCTGAACTACGACCATTCCTGGGATTAGTTACCTGCTACTCAGCGTTTGTTCCGTCGATGCATGACATACGCCCCGCTAAATCATATTCTGGATAAGAATACCAGCTGGAACTGGACAAAAGAATGTGAAGCTGCATTTTGCAAGCTGGAAACAATCACAAGCTCTGAACTATTACTGGCACAGTACGATCCGTCCATGTCTATCATTGTCGCTGCAGACGCTTCAGCTTTTGGACTCGGTGCTGTCATCTCACACCAGTTCCCGGACACAACAGAAAAAGCTATTATGCATGCATCTTGCACATTAACTTCGGCGGAAAGAAAGTACAGTCACATTGAGAAAGAGGCTCTCGTCTTGTGTTTGCAGTACGCCCTTTCCACAAATTCTTGTACGGTCGAAGTTTTACTCTTCTCACTGATCACAAGCCTCTTCTCACAATTTTCGGTTCGAAATCTGGTGTTCCAGCCCATTCTGCAAACCGTCTCCAGCAATGGGCTTTGATACTTTTGGGTTATGATTTTGACATTCAGTACCGGTGCACCCAACAGTTTGGTCAGGTTGACGCCTTGTCACGACTTATCAGCGAACACCATACGGCCGACGAAGATGCAGTTATTGCCTTACTAATGACAGAGGACCACGTGCTATGTTACCTGACAACCGCTATTCGTGCTTTGCTAGTCTCAGCAGCTGGAATACAATCTATATCCAAGAACGACTCCATCATAAAGAGAGCGGTGAAATACGTCACTAATGGCTGGCCGTCAACTGGACCCGATGGTGACTTGAAGCAGCTTTACCACCGTCGGGACTCATTATGCGTCGTCAATGAGTGCTTGATGTTTGGAGATAGAGTAGTGGTACCAGAGTCCCTAAGATCAAGGGTGCTAAAGCAGTTCCACACTGGTCATCCTGGTGTAAAACGAATGAAATCCATCGTCAGAAGCTATGCTTATTGGCCCCTTATGGACCAACACATCATGGATTTAGTAGGCGAATGCATGCAATGTTAGCAAGCGGCGAAATGTAATGCGAAAGTGACGCCGGTCTCATGGCCCCGGCCTGAGTATCCCTGGTCCAGGATACATGTCTGTTTTGCTGGTCCAATCAGTCGGACTACCTATCTAGTTGTGGTTGATGCCTTTTCGAAATGGCCAGAAATTGTCCCCATTATGCCACCGACGAATACCAAAAGGATACAACTCCTGTCGGAGATGTTCGCTCGCAACGGTTTACCGGATGTAATTGTTTCAGATAACGATTCTCAGTTCACCTCAACACAGTTCCAAGATTTCTGCCAACGGTTATCCGTCAAGCATCTCCGCTCTCCACCCTACCACCCTCAACCAAACTGCCAAGCAGGAAGATTTGTGGATACATTTAAGAGAGCTCTAATCAAGTTGAAAGGGGAGGGGACGCCAGTGGAAACACTTCAAAACTTCTTATTCGTTTACAGAACGACACCTAGTGATGTATTACCCGAGCAGAAGTCCCCAGAAGAAATCCTGATGGGAAGAGAATTGAGGACGGTCCACAATCTGACGCTTCCGAAAACCACACTATCGCCATCACCGACCAAGTTACAGAAGCTGCTAACATACGAGTTTGGGTGTCCGGTGTTCGCTCGGGACTACAAACCAAATCATGGTCCCTGGAGGTCACATTGCGGAGGTCTGTTATTTTGTAATCCTCTCTTTTACTATTAATATCGCAATATTTTATTCAAAAATCATTTTTTCATTATTTTCAGGAGTTAGAATTTTGAATGAAACTACTGTAGTTGCTATTCGGTCGCTTTCGTAACTATTGTTTCAAGAGAGAGAGAAAGAAAGAGTTTAGACTAAGAACAGACTTCATACTTTCCAAACGAATAAAAAAACTTAATGGTTTAAACATTTGTCTTCAGTTATCAGGTCACTCTTAAGTTTGCGCAGTCTGATCATGTTAATAATGATCAAATATTATTCTATATGTTTATTAAATTGTTTATTCCGATTGCAATCTATGATTATACCCACTGGATTATTTCATATACTGCACCACACTTCTGTAGACTATAATTTATCTAACCTTACTTTGCTTGGCATATATGTTTTAGTTGGGTTGCTTAATCCAAAAATGTGCGAGAAGAAATATTTTTCTGTGTAAACTGTTAATTCATAAGTTTCAGCGAACTTTCATAACGTTCGATTATTTAAAAAGTAAAGGAAGATATTCAGCCATTCAGAAATGTAAAATATCCGTCTAAAACACTGTATTCGAAACCATTTGAAACCGTTTGAAAGGATTACCAACACAAAGCATTAATAATTGGGCTAATCTTGCAAAATTGTGACGAATATGTGATAGATCATTTGTTTTAATGAGATTGCGAGAAGTAATACTGTCCTCATTCTATTTCTTTAAAAGGTTCATTACAGCGGATTCCGTACGAAATGAAAGACAATGTAATAAGTGCTAATGTGAGTGATCTTTTTTTTTAGAGAAATATAAATTTTTGTTATCCTATTCTAGCTGACAAGTGTTTGGGAACTCTTTGTGTATTTGAGTGGTTTTATTCATTTATTAAAGTCAAATATTTAAATGGACATATCATCGATGCCTAAAAATCTTAGCTCATAAGAATTAATCATAATTCTCAGTATAGGGTTTTAGATATTGTTAATTTTCATTTGAGATCATGAACGGATCAATGTTAGACCACCATTGAAAACGTGGAAGCACTGGATGGCTGATTCGCCCTAGTCTCGGACTCCCCAGCAGTGCGCATCCATGATCCTGCATGTGGGATTCGAACCCAGAACCTTTGATCTCTCAAACCTCAACAATATCCACAACCATATACTAATAATTATCATGTGCTCACTAGTGACTAGTTTCGAGAAGTAATTCTCGGAGTTCTGGTGAGAAGCCATGACCAGTGGAGTTTAACCGTATCAATTGTGAGGCAGTTACCCACCGAAGACAATGGAAGATGGTTGCGCAATATCGTGGATTAATTGAAGTTAGACACTAACACCGTTGGATGTTGTCTCTTAGGTCTAGAGGTTAAGTGTTCACGCGCGAAACCGAAGGCCCTGTGTTCGAATCCCGCGAGCGGGATCGTGGATGTGCACTGGCGTGGAATTCCAGATTAGGACGAAACGGCCATCTTGTGCTTCCAGGTTTTCAATGGTGGTGTAACACTGATCAGTTCATGATCTCAATTAATCATAATCTACTGCTTTACTACTCACTCCACTGCTAGGACTGTGAAGTAGTGTATATATAATCTTCATATTAATTAATATGATTCGAAGCATATGTTTATTTGATAAGTATCGGTTTTCCATATGACAAAAAATTGTTTTATTTTCCTGAGCATTTAGTTTCATATTATTATTATTATTATTATTCTTTTATTATTATTCTTCTTCTTGCTATTATTGTTATTATTATTATTATCCTACTATAAGCAGTGGAAGTATTCGGAACTCATGAATATCATATATACTTGCACTATTATGTTAACGATTTTAATCTTTTAAGCTATTCAATCAACTTCAAATGTTATCATTTTTATATTAGCTTATTGAGCCGAGATACTCCAAGAAAGTTGAGAGTATCTGATATGAATTTCTTAAGTTCATATTATAATCGTAATATTTTTGAATGTATTCACCTTGTAATATATGTTCGCAGTAGTAACTTTTTTTCCTTGTTTAGTTTACAGTTCGTTTCTTGAATACATCTGAAGAAGGCTTATATCATCTGTACTTTCATAATTGTGCTGAATTAAATGTAGAATCTGGTAAACGTCATTCAGTTAACTTAACAGTAAGTTTTGACTTTGTTGAAGATAATGATGCGATCTATGCATTAAGCAGAGACTTGTGCACTAGGGCTAGTGAAATACCGTTTGTGTGAGAGACAGTGTTATTAATCGACTGCCTAAACTGAAGTAGGTGTGACGGGACTCAAACTTCAGTCAGTCAGCTACAACGTAGGACCAGGCACATATATGCATCGGTCCAGGTTGCCGTACCTCATTAGCATAGCAAGATGAACACCGGATTCATAGGAGTGGTTAGGTCAAAGGTGGTAATATATAGGAGAAAGATTGCATATAAGGATACAGTATAGGAAGAAACAATTAGTTAATAGAAAGAAAGATATGAAGTGATTTTAATCTCTTAGTTTAAGGGAAGACGGAGTGTATTCACCGACACCATTGTGATCGATTCTGAGCCATGTCACCAAGAGTCTCCAACCATTGGTTACGAAAGTCGCGGACCCCAACCAAGTAGTCTGCATCTACCAACATGGCTCAGATTAGAGGTTAGTGTCTTCAAGCACTGATGCCACGTTTTGGTTTGGCCGCCCCTAACTTTCTTCCAACCATCTCTAACACCCGTTAGCATTGCACGACGTGGTAATCGGTGTTCAGGCATACGTAACACGTGGCCCAACCATCTCAGTCGATGAAGATTCACAACCTCATCAACTGATTTACCATCGTTCCCTAATACCCTGCGTCTAACCTCACTATTACTTACCCGGTGATCCCAGCAGATGCCAGTAATATTTCTAAGGCATCCGTGGTCAAATACTAGTAGCTTACGGGTGTCTTCTACTCTTAAGGGCCATGTTTCGCTGACGTAAATTAAAACAGAACGGACTGCCGCGCAGTATACTCGTCCTTTTATTGATAGACGGATATCTCGTCTTCGCCATAGGTGACGTAAGTTGGCAAAAGCCAAACGAGCTTTTCGAATCCGTGTTGAGATTTCGTCCGATACCAGCCCATTAGGGCTAATCAGACTTCCAAGATATGTGAAGTTGTCAACGCGTTCGACTACTTCACTCCCTATCCTTAGTTCAGGTGTTGACGCAGACCAGTCCTGAAGCAACAACTTGCATTTAGAGGGAGAGAAGCGCATTCCAAACATTCTGGCATTGTTGCTCAGTGCTACCAGAAGACTCTGCATTTTGTCAGTGTCTTCACCAAACAGGACTACGTCATCTGCGTATTCTAAGTTGATAAGTGGACCTCCTGGTAGGAGATCAATACCCGAGAATTCAGTCGACGAGAATGTTATTTCCATCAGTAGGTCTATGGCGAATTTAAACAAAAATGGAGAAAGTGGACAGCCTTGACGGACACCGTTTGAGGTTGCAAAAGTAGATGACAGTTCGCCATAAGCTCTGACTCGACTAGTAGTGTTCGAGTAAAGAGCCTTTCCAAGGTTTATGTACTTCTGGGGTACGCCTTTCAATGACAGACACTGCCACAGAGTCTCGCGGTCTACGGAGTGAAATGCTGCTTTTAAGTCAAGAAAGACCACCATTGTCGGACGTCGATAAGTATGTCTGTGTTCTAGAACCTGACTCAAACGTGCAATCTGTTAGTTGGAAGTCAAGTGCTTCAATCACTGTGATCATTTTTTTAATTTGCTGTGTATAATGTAAAAAGCTCTTTTAATAGAGTTTTTTTAAATAATTTTTGGTCATTTTAAATACATTTCTACTCAGTAACGTTCCTTGATTATGCACTTAAATGGTATTTGAAAAGTCAAATTCTCTAGATTCTCATTGATTGTGATTACATGTTCCGTTCGGTGGTAGTTGAGACTTATTGCGCAATATGTCTTCACTGTTTGTTAAGCGATAATATGTACATTTCTTATGCCGCAGGTAGCATAAAGTGATAAATCCAAATAAGGGTTTCATTTCTGCGCATGTGTTCTCATGAAAGAAATATGACTCACAAAATAGGTATAATGGTGAATACATTTAATAAACTCATTCATTATTTTCAAGCTAAACATGCAACCCGATTGACTTTGAAGTAACACTTTACACTTGGAAGTTTGAAAATCCGTTCGAAACATCAAAATCACTATCATTCTATGTCGGTTAATACCATATGAATTGCATTTTATGAAGTGTAAAACCAGCAGATTTCATCTTTTAAATAACGAAATATTAGGTTAGTTTGTGTCATTTACTTGAAGTAATTACAACGAAACTGTTTAATGCTTACTCCGTAAGTATTTAAATTAATTTTCAGGAAGAATATATACATTCACCTATGTAACTGGTTCGCCAATGTGAATGATATGACTCTCATGAAAAGGGATGTTTTCTCCGTTTCTAAAATTGATTTTGTTTGCATAAATTTAGTAACAATATGTTTTATTTTCATGATTTAGTTTCTGTTTTGTATCTCTGTAGTTAAAAATGGTTGAGAAGAATGTAAACAGTTATTTATCTGCTGGTCAACAACCATTGCCTATGCTTTATGCAATTTCTTGTTTGGCTTATTTGTTCCTTAGTATTTTCTGGTTTGTTTACCTTCGCAAATCAAAGTAAGCACTGGTTTCTTCCTATTTTCTGCAATAAAATCTGCTTACAAAATAATATTGAAATTGATCTTAAGCAGTAATTTTTTGAATTAACAAACTTTAACTAATTGACCTATTATTACATGGGATTTTGTCACACCACCAAGAATTAGATGCAGTTTTTCTCAGACTAGTCAACAAAATCAATTTAATGTTTTGTACACAAACTTCCAGATTAATTTTAAAATTTATGTACACAAAAAGCTGGCTGTAGGGTCACTTATTTCTGTCCATTATTCTATTGTATAATTTTTGTTAATAGTTATGTAATTAAATGATAAGATCTGAATTCGATAAAGTATGATTTTGTAAGTAATCCTTATCCTGCCATGAATCAAGAAATGTTTATTTATAGTTTCGGTTAATGCAAATTGAAAAATTTCACAGTTTTAAGCTTGTCTTATTTCCTATCATTACAATATATTTTCTAATGTGATCTACTGACAGAAATGAATAGTTAATTTTGTTGTTGCTTTCACTGTAGCTCATCATTTTCATTACTAATTAATCTTAGCATCTTGAACCTATGTTTTATTTTCAACATAAACAATAGCTTTATTTCCTTAATAGAGATCTTTTGTCATTGATTTTGTTCTCTAAAGTTCATTCAATTTTAATCTGATAATCGTTTTCACTAATGAATTATCAATCTATCCATTTATTATCTCATAATCCCATGAATTTCCTCAGTTAATCATTGTTGTATCAGGATATATACATATATATCTATCGTAGAGTAAATAATCTAAGTATCTCTTAATTCAGAAAAGAAATCTTGATTTATCCAAAAATAATTCAACCCAATAAAATGATTTCATGGGATTTTTTCCCTTTTCACTTACACCTTCTGTCTACTTATTATTTAATTTATTTTTTGTTTGTTTAGAAATTCGGTTTATCGAATTCATTATCTCATGTTAGCAGTTACTGTTGTCAAATCAATTTCACTTGGCTTTCATAGTGTAAGTTATAAAACAAACGAGTATGTATTCCTAATCTATTTTGTTTTTAATTTTTTTTATTTAGAATAAACTTCTCTTTCAAGGGACAGTTTAACATGTTTATTGTACATTGGGTTTTTTTTTAGTTTTAACTAGAGATATTGCTTGTTGACATTCTAACACGAAATTCTTTTGATCGTTAACCTTCATTTTAGATGTGGTTCATAGCATATTTATGATAAAAATAATTCTGTTGATGTGAAGAAGCAAGTCCAATCAATGAAAGTTAGACACCTAAGCCACTAACCCCAGATCACTAAGTATGACTCCGACGACACATGTAAAATCCTCTTTCTTTTCTTACCTATGAGTGGTTTATAAATTTATCCAACGAATATAAAAAATTCCATTTCTTAATTTTCTCCCAATATATTCTGTACGTTCTATGCACTAGAAAACAAATTTAAGCTACAGTATGTCTAAAAGACATTTTACAAAATGTTATATCATTAGTTTGTAGAATGTAACTCATTAAATCCATAATGCTTACATAACCATAATCGCTTAACATAAGATCATTAGCACTAGTTTTTTATCAACAACAATCTGTTTTATCACTGTTTACCACTTTTTAGAAAATGATTATTTGCTTTATTTGTAACTGATAATGAAATGCTGTTATTATTATTGTTTCTTTTATTTAATTTTAGGTAAATTATTATGTGATTGGGAAACATGGTGCTCATGAAGAAAGTTGGGCTGTTATGTATTATATTACTCATATGTATGTGTGTTTATTTTTGTGTAATTATTTATATTACCAGTGTAAAACTTTTTCAAAAAAATTTTTTGTTTCCCCTTAAAAAAACAAAAAAATGTTGTCTTCCACACTATAGAAGTTATTCCAAGCAGTTATTGGTAACTTCACTGATCTACTATTAATCAGTCATTTAACTAAAAGTTGATTGATCCTATCTTGTCTGTTGTGACTAATTGGTTTGCCATTATTTACAACTCTTATGCAGCAATTCTGATTTACAAGGCATTATGCAAAACTTTTCTGAGTAGTGAGCATTTTGTTGGTTAGGATTGATTACCTATCGAATTTACGGTTAATTAATATATTAGAGAATATTTTGAATTTTCTAATTCAGTAAAACAATGTCACTCAACGTTGGTTAATACTTTACTATAAATTACAGTGTGAATAGTAGGAAGTTATTCTGCATTTTTATAATAAATGTGTTTTAAATTGATCGTTGTTAAAGTCCGGATTGGTTTGTAAGAATAATATGATAGTCCCGTAATGCAAAGACCATTGCCCTCAACGCATACCATACTTTGGAAAAAAACACTAGTCAACCTATGATTTATATTAATCTTATTCTTATCATCAGTAGCAATAGTATTCCAACAACCAGAGTTATTTTTAGAAAGTAGTTGTCCACTTAATTTCATTTTTATTCAGTAGTTAGCCAAAACTTTAGCTATAATCATTTAATTGCCTGCACCATCAAGATATTGTACCTTTTTTTAGGAAAAAAACTAAGAACAGATTTCATTGGTGAAGTATTACCACTTGGTTCTTCACTTACAAACACATTTTTCTTGATGTTTTGTGTAATTTCACCAAAAAATAAGTTATTACTTAAATTGTATATTTTCTTATATTGAGTAAGAAAAAGGCCATAACATGAGTATTCATGTTTGAGTGACAGAATCCTGATTGCATTCATTGAATTTCATTGATCAATTTGAGTAACATGGGATCAACAATGACCTTTAAGGTAGAGTGAATTTGTTTTGTTTACCCGACTTATCAACTGATCATGATAGATCTAACTTTAAAAAATGGTAAAATCGAGAGAAGAGTATCGATTAGACTTTATACAATTGTGGATCAATCCCGGTTATAGCAATTTGAATCAACAGAACAAAAGGCAGAGTGAAACAACGCGTATATTTAAAAAAAATAGTAATAAAATAAATGATTTCAACAGTACAGAAGTAAAAGTATCAGAGGAAATCAGTAAATAAATGCTAAGCTTTTTAATGAAATAGTTTGTTCAATATATAAAGGCATACAGAGAATGTTGAACCTGGGACATGTGCCACACTTCACATCAGGAGAGGAAGTTATCTAGATGAGTAACGAAAAAATGTAAAAAAAGAGAAAGAGAGGTGGACGTTTTTGGTCAATAAAATGTATAGGATAACAGTGTAAGAATGAATACATATACTCTCACTGGACAAATTTTGAAGCAAACATCACGTAAATATTTCAAGCATCACTTCAAATGACCTCACAAACAACAACTAAAACTCCTGTACCTTTCTACGTGATTAAAGTTCGTGGTTACTTACTTCATGAGCCAATATCGTACACTGATGTTTCATAAAGTTGAATGAATAAAGCATTAGTTCCTCTGAAGAGAGATTACACCCTTCTTGAACCCCATCCGACGTAGTTATTTCACACTGTATGTAGGCAAGTAGAATTGTAAAATTATATTTTCAATCATTAGTAATTAGTGTGGAATACAGACAGAAGATAGGTGGAAAGCTGTGGATACTAATTATTGGGTTGTATATTCCTTAAAAAACAATCAAATATCATAGAATTTAAACCGATTTAACTGAGATCTATTCATATAAGTACATTGAGTCATCTTGAATTATTGGTTGATATTATGTGATTATATATGTTCACATGGCCTTATCCGTTTTTAACGTAATTTAATTAATACTGAGTGGGTTGGAGATTGATGGTCGGCGGTCTATGCTCCACTGGGAGTAACAGGGGTAAGTAAGTAACTAATACTGTATGTTTTTCTTTTTCGCTGATCCTTAGGTTATGGTAGTTATCGGTTATTGTTGTTTTTTAATTTTAGTATTCGAGGTGCACTTCTATTTATCACTATATTACTGATTGGTGCTGGTTGGGCCTTTATCAAACATATGTTAACACCGCGTGAACGTAATGTGTTCTTGATTGTAGTACCTCTTCAAGTGAGTTTGTTGGTGCGAAATTGTTTTCAAGAGGAATAATTTTTTTACACTTGTATGTTGTATGAAATTCATCTCCGAATTTCCATTATTAACACATTACGCTTAGTTCTATTGTGTGAACGTAATAGTGCATCGATTCACGTTCCTACACCCTGAGGTAATATATCATCATGACAAAGTGCAACACAAAGTTTATCAAGTATCTGTTATATTGCGCTAATTAATTTTAATTAAGACCCCTGCCTGATCGTTTCGAACACAAACCTGCAAGCATCTTTTTGTGTGAGAGCCTTTTTTCATCTTTCAAGACTTTAGGAATCCATTGACAGCATCAGCTCCCATAGTGAGTGTGGCCTATAGCTTGGTAAATAAATCTGTTTGTGACTGCCTCTCTGTATTAGCTAGTACTAGAAGATGTTATTAGTCATTTCATTATTATTTCAAACACTTATAATTAATGTCTAGGAAAATTTGTTTTTGTTTCCGAACGTTTCTTGCTTATAAAATGTGTTTCTTATTGTGTAGAATATCTAAGTACATATGTATGTTTTATTTTGGTGTTTTTACTAACAATGAGAAAATCATTGGATAGATCAATTTAAGTTTATTGAAAATTAAGTCAACTATTGGAAATCAGAGATATTGCGCAACTATTTTTTAATGCAATTAGTGTGTAGTTGGACCACATACAACATATTTGAACATTGCTCATCACGATTTATTATTAGAACTCCAAATTAGTTACTAATCAGTACATGATTATTATTAGTGCGAGGAGCCCGTAGAGATTGCTGAATTTTGTAGTTTATATCACGAACTTACCTTACTTTAATAACCATTGAAAAACAGAAAATACCGAACAGTCGTTTCGTTTTAGTTTGGGGCTTCTAAACAGTGTTCATTCTTGACCTCACCAAGAATGGTCGCAAAGTGATTCAAGTTTGAAATGCAAACTGTAGTGTCGGTTACCATGTTAAGCCCATTTAACTTATTCTGGCTTCTGGACAGGCCAATTTATCCATTATTCTTGAGTCACGTTTTGACCTTGTTAATTATTCACTTACCGACCCTAACTTTCCATATGAGCATGTGCGCGTACATGTCTTTTCCAATGTTTTAACCTTTTAAAAATTTCTCATTCAAATCTACCTACTCCTTCATTATCTTCATTTTTTTGCATAGGTTTTAGCCAATATTGCTACTATAATTATTGAAGAGTCTGAAGCTGGTGCAGCTCGTTATGCTACATGGAAAGAAATTTTCATTTTTGTCGATTTAGCATGTTGTGGAGCAATTTTATTCCCTGTTGTCTGGTCTATTAAACTTTTAAAAGCAGCTTCTCAAACAGATGGTAAAGCAGCTATAAATCTGCGTAATCTACGGTTATTCCGTCATTTCTACATTCTGGTAAATTCGGATGTCTTTTCACTTACTGACAGTCATGAAATGTTTAACTTACAAATTTCATATACTTATTAAGATCCTAAATATTATTTTTCTATTATTGTATAAAGAAACTATATTTATGAATGTTAGTTTGATTTAAATTATTATAATTGTTGAGAATTCATACTTAGTATTAAATTTAATCGAATCCTCAACTAATCATCCATTTCTATAACATGGGATTTGAAAGTACATTCGTCACTTAAAATTTTGGTCGTTTCTAAAATTATTAGTTATTTTTATATCATATCAATCTTTTATGATAGTGTACAGTAGGATTGTATACTTAAACTCATTATCGTAGAATACTGTATGTACTTTGAGCTATGATGGATACCGAGTGGTTGGCTTAAAATTTGAAAATACCCGATTCCTAGTCATTGAGTTGGACTCGCGAAGTTCGCCCTATCTACTTGATTTTATGCCATGGGTAATCAATAATTAACTATCAAATATAGAAGTTCAAACAAATAAAACTGTATTTGATCATTTAAGCTATGAAACTTTCTGTGCATTTCAGTGTTGGAAATTGATCTCATTGTTACACGTGTTAATCCGTTAGTGTTCCACATATGGTTCTATGCACACTCATATGAATTAAACATTTTGGTTTTACAAATTTTTGAAAAGCCTTAGCTTTGTCTACTCCTAGTACATATGTTCTTTATTCTCGGCTTAGAGATTAGCTGCTGTTATAAAGATATAGTAGTGATCACTTACAATTCTGTGATCTAAATACCACTGTCTTATATGAGTTTTATATTAGTATCTATGTTTATATGATTCGTATGCTTTGTTTTTATTTGCTTACGGTTTGCCCTCAACTACCAATGGTAAGACTCATTAGCGTATATTTCTTTGTCTTGGAATTTTTAGTGGATATTTTGCAAAATTGGTTCATTAAATTTGGTCAGCATCAAGTAGTAGAAACATGGTATTAATAATTACGATCAGGTGATATATTAGCGTAAATAGTCATCGACATTAAACTAAGAGTCTCAATTTGACGAGTATTTATTTGTCGAAGTACAACACCTTTTAACATAAAGGAAAGTAGTTTACACTCTATTAACAGTTTATTAACCCCATGGGTAAGACGATTTATTACCTGGGGAATGAATTCTAAGTAATAAAATTGTGTGGAATTACACTTTACATTTCTGAAAAGGTTGATAATACAAACACTGAACTCTTGAGTAGTATTGTTTTTTAATTCAACTGTTATGCATACAATTGAGTAATATCTTTAATATCCTACTGTTTCTCATTTCACAGGTTATTTGTTACGTGTATTTTACACGTGTCATTGTCTACTTGATGACAATCACTGTAGTCTATTCGTATTCATGGCTTGTGGAATTATTCAAGGAAACGGTGACTTTCATTTTCTTTATTTCAGTTGGTTATGAGTTTCGTCCAGTTAATGATAATCCTTATTTGCTCGTTTCTGATGAAGATGACGATGAAGATACTGTGATGGAACGTATGCAAATGGAAGATATGTAAGTAGTATTATTTTGGTTTGTGTACACAATCTTATGACTCTTAACTTTTTCATCTCCAATTCCATTTTTTCTCTTTCAGAATTACGTTTCTCTCGTTTAAAGTTCTATTTTAGTTCAAATTCATTTCTTCTCTTTTGCTTCTTATTTTGTTAATTTCTCCTTTCTTTAAGAATTTATATTCTTCTTCTTAAATAAGTCGTTGGTCATCGTAATGTAATAGCTTGGTATCTAGGTCCAAGGATTAATTAAGCGGTTCTAAGTGTATCCAATTGACGTGTTCAGAATAATTATCATAGAAAATTTCCATCCTGATTTTTCACCGCTAGCTACTACTACTACTCTTAACATTTTTGCTTCTTAAATAATAATAATAATAATAATAATAATAATAATAGTAATAATAATAATAATAGATTTTCCTCTCTTTCACACCATGTGTAAATAGAAGGTTGATATTCATTTTGCATACAGAATAAATTCTAATGTCATTTAATTAAATATAATAATTATTGCTTATAGTATTGACCATTTTATAATCACATGTTTTTTATCCAATAATAATTCATTGAAAATAAATTGAAATATCCTTAATTCATCAACAAGGTTTGTAGCGGTAAAGAAATCCCCAAAATAAATAGTTTCGTAAGCCTTCAACATTTGATTCTGGCCTCATTAGTTTTAATTGACACATCGAGCTGAAGGCACTGTCACGCATCTTCACGAGTGGGTACGCCGTGTTACGCATCTCCTACAACTGTTAGCCAGGTTGGATCAAACTCATTTCGAGATGTCGATAGCCTTTCAAATATAACTTCGAACCTCTTCACTTCTTATTTGACTGGGTTGACATACTTCGTTTATAAAGATGTTACTGTTAAAGTCGTTGTCAGACTCCGAATACTTGCAGCATTTTTAGTGATGAACCTGACGTGATCTGGTACACCAATTCGTAAACTGTGAGTCCGTTCCTCTTTGGAACAGGCTTTAGTTAAATTATAGAAATGGTTAAAAAGGAAAGACGTAACGTTTAATCTGCTGACGAACACAATAGGAAAACAAAATGTTAATATTTTTTTCTACACTTTCATAGATGGATGGTAGGATTTGGTTACATAAAATGCGGTAGATGTATTTATTGAATGAATTATATTTACATTTATTTATTTTCTTTTTATTATTCACACACTGATTTCAAATATTATTCCTATTCTTAAGTAACAATAACTTGAATATGTAAATGTGATTAATTTCAAAATGAAACGTTTTATCGGTGCTGAACTTTTATGTTTTTCAAATAATTATTCGATGATAATCATTAAAACTTCAGATTCTTTAATATACATTTACAAGATCTGACCAGACATTCTATAAGGTCTACACCTTAGTTGGCATATTACATCACTAACAGAAGTCTTATTTATCCATAATAAATTTCAAAAAGTCAAACCTATGTGTACAAAGATGACTTTTCAGTATAGGGTTGTGGAGATTATCAAGTTTTTGATTGAGATCATGAAACGATTGATGTTAGACCATCATTGAAAACCTGGAAGCACTGGACGACCGTTTCGTCCTATTGCGGGACTCCTCAGTGGTGCGCACCCATGACCCCGCTCGCGGGGTTTTAACCCGGGGCCTCCGGTCTCGCACGCTAACGCTCAACCTACTTGACCACTGAGCCAGTGCCCAACGGTGTTAATGTCTAACCTCAACCAATCCACGAAATTGCACGACCATCGTCCATACTTGTCTCTACCGGACACGGAATAACTCCACCGGGTTAGGTGTTCGCGCGCGAGACTGAAGGCCTTGGGTTCGAATCCCGCGAGCGGGACCGTGGATGCGCACTGCTGAGGGGCCCCGCAATAGGACGAAACGGCTGTCCAGTGCTTCCAGGTTTTCAATGGTGGTCTAACATCAATCGGTTCAAGATCTCGATCAAAGATGAATTTGATGTATAGTGACAAATTTCACTCAACTGATTGTTCGACGATGATCTGTGGTGTCGTGATTTGGTCTGTGGACGACAGATCCTTACGGAATCCAACCTGATGATCTCGAAGTTGGTCGTCTACTGCGCCTTTCAGCCGGTTCATCAACACTCTGTTGAGAACCTTTCGTGGTACTTATATTAGTGTTATTCCTCTGTAGTTCCACACTTGCTGTGATCTCCTGACTTTAGTATTGTGATGAAGTATTTTTATTTTCAGTCTGTCGGCACTTGTCCTTCCCCCAAATCTTCTTCAATAGAAGGTGAAGCATGTTTGTAGTTACTTTTATGTTTGACTTCAGTGTGTTAGCTGGTATATTGTCAAGTCGTATTGCTTTCCCACTCTTGATTTGTCTGATGATCGGACATCCTAATTTCTTCGATCGTTGGTGGGGTGACATCCATAGGAAGGTCTGTGCGTACTGTTTCGATGTCCGGTGGATTTAATAGAGCCGGCCTATTGAAGAGTTCCTCAAAGTGTTTCATCCATCTGTTCCTCTGTTCTTGAATCTCAGTGATTGTTTCGCCTTTGTCCTTGACCGGTCTCTCCGGTTTACTACATTTTCCTACCAGTTTCTTCATTGTTTCATATAATTTTTTGATATTTCCTTCTGTTGCAGCTCTTTCCGCTGTCGTTGCTAGGTCCTCCACGTATTTTTGTTTGTCGGTTCTATTACTGCTCCCCATTCGCTCGTTTACTTGAAAGTATTCAGCTTGTGCCCTGACTTTCTCTGTTCTTGTTTGGCTATTGTTAATTGCTACCTTCTTGTTCTTCCTTTTTTGAATCTTGTCCCGGGTCTCGATAGAGATGCATTCTTTATGATCGTGCTTGTTGCGGCCCAGAACCTCCTGACACGTTAAAGTCATTGCTTCTTTGATCCCTTTCCAGTAGTTTCTTCTTCTTTCAGCAGATGTTGTAAGGCTTGTAACCTGTCGTTGAGAGTTATCTTGAATTTGTTTTGTTAGTCTTTGACGAGAACTCTTCGAATTTAACTGATATATATAAACTGCTCTAGTAAACATACAAGCTCTTACTATGACAATTCAATATGTTTAAATACAATTCAGTCAGTCGAGTTGTGTCAGCGGCTGACATTCCTGACTTGCCAATACTTATTCTTGATGTAACTGGAAATGACTAGAATAATAGTGGTTTTGGCTACCTGGGAACGTGACCTCAGGCCCAATGGACTACTGCTTAAGGCATGTCGCACATAATCTATTTGCCAGCAGTTCCTGGTGTGTTAGTTTCGCACTTTGAATGTTTTACCGCTGGTGGTAGCAATCCGTGAATTTTGGTGAGGTTTGCCATTTTGTGTCGATGTTTCCTAACTTCTTCCGTCTATTATAAGAGGGCACCACTGCGGTATTTATTAGGTGTTTGACGGAATTGTCTGACGGCCATCAAACTTCAGTACAGTTTAAAGTTAGACTTTTCCCTTGGGCGTTAATCTGTTGCTTTCAATCCTATCATTCTCCAACTGACCTACATAGCATGATAAATACCTAAGGAAACAAGTGCCCAGCCAATCTACTTCGTTTGGGTCATCATAATAGGCAACCTCGTTTATCATGTCAAGATAACAGCAGTCAGAAAATAAAAGTGTTTCATCTTTTAACAAACACGTGTTTATCAGTTATAAAATTTTTATTAGTGTAGTATTTCGCTTTGACTAAAATCCGCTTATATGACATATATTATCCACTAATAGTACTTACTTACTTACGCCTGTTACTCCCAATGGAGCATAGGCCGCTGACCAGCATTCTCCAACCCACTCTGTCCTGGGCCTTCTTTTCTAGTTCCATCCAATTCTTGTTCATTTTTCTCATGTCTATTTCCATTTCTCGGCGTAATGTGTTCTTTGGTCTTCCTCTTTTCCTTTGGCCTTGAGGATTCCATGTGAGGGCTTGTCTTGTGACGCAGTTGGGTGCTTTCCTCAATGTGTGTCCTATCCACTTCCAGCGCTTCTTCCTGATTTCTTCCTCCACTGGGATATGGTTTCTTCTCTCCCACAGTAGGTTGTTGCTAATAGTGTCCGGCCAACGGATCCGAAGTATTTTGCGTAGACAACTGTTGATAAACACCTGTATTTTCTGGATGATGGCTTTCGTAGTTCTCCAGGTTTCTGCCCCATACAGTAGAACTGTCTTGACATTTGTATTGAAAATCCTGACCTTGGTGTTGGTTGACAGTTGCTTTGAGTTCCAGATGTTCTTCAGTTGTAAATATGCTGCTCTTGCTTTGCCGATCCGCGCCTTCACATCTGCATCAGATCCACCCTGTTCATCAATGATGCTGCCCAAATACGTAAAGGTTTTTACATCTTCCAAATCTTCTCCGTCAATTGTGATTGGATTGGTGCATGCTGTGTTGTATCGGAGAATCCTGCTTTTCCCTTTGTGTATATTGAGACCTACTGCTGCTGAGGCTGCTGCCACACTGGTCGTCTTCTCCTGCATCTGTTGTTGCGTTTGGGATAGAAGGGCCAGATCATCTGCGAAGTCTAGATCGTCCAACTGCATCCTAGATGTCCATTGTATCCCGTGCTTCCCTTCAGACGTTGACGTCTTCATGATCCAGTCGATCACCAGGAGAAAGAGAAAGGGTGAGAGTAAGCAACCTTGCCTGACACCGGTCTTTACTTCGAACGACTTTGTCAACTGTCCTCCATGCACGATTTTGCAGTTTAATCCATCATATGAGTTCTGTATGATATTGACTATCTTCTGAGGCACGCCGTAGTGTCGAAGAAGTTTCCATAGTGTTGTTCTGTCCACGCTATCAAATGCCTTTTCGTAGTCAATGAAGTTGATGTAGAGTGATGAATTCCATTCAATTGATTGTTCCACAATGATCCGTAGAGTTGCGATTTGGTCTGTACACGATCTATCCTTACGGAATCCTGCCTGTTGGTCACGAAGTTGGGCGTCTACGCAGTCCTTCATCCTGTTTAACAATACCCTGTTGAAGACTTTTCCCGGTATTGAGAGAAGAGTGATGCCCCTGTAGTTATCACACTTGCTGAGATCGCCTTTCTTCGGTATTTTGATCAGAAGTCCTTCTTTCCAGTCTTTTGGTACTTGTTCCTCATCCCAAATCTTATTGAAGAGAATGTGGAGTATCCTTGCAGTTGCCGCTACGTCTGCTTTTAGTGCCTCTGCTGGATGTTGTCCGGTCCTGCTGCTTTGCCACTCTTGATTTGTCTGATGGCCATGCTGATTTCTTCAATTGTTGGTGGGCCAACATTGATTGGGAGGTCCGTGGGTGCTGCTTCGATGTTGGGTGGGTTCAGTGGAGCTGGTCGATTCAAGAGTTCTTTGAAGTGTTCTACCCACCTGTTTTGTTGCTCTTCAATGTTGGTGATTACCTCGCCTTCCTTGCTTTTCACTGGTCGTTCTGGTTTGCGGCGATTTCCAGAGAGTTTCTTTGTCGTGTCATACAGTTGTCTCATGTTTCCTTCTCTTGCAGCCTTTTCCGCCGTCGTTGCTAAATCTTCCACATATTTACGTTTGTCGGTTCTGATGCTCCTCTTCACTTGTTTGTTTACTTCTGTGTATTCAGCTTGTGCCTTGGCTTTTTCTGCTCTTGTTCGACTGGTATTGATTGCTGCCTTCTTGTTCCTTCTTTCTTGAATCTTATCCAGTGTATCAACAGTGATCCATTCCTTGTGATGGTGCTTCTTGTGACCCAGGACCTCATGACATGTTGAAGTGATTGCCTCTTTGATCCCCTTCCAGTTGCTCTCCACAGTAGTTCCTTCTCCATTGAGTAGATCATGAAAGGCCTGGAACTTGTTGCTGAGGACTATCTTGAATTTGTTGAGTTTGTTAGTATCCTGAAGAAAGGCCGTATTGAACTTTTGTGATATTGTCCGCCCCGTTGTCCAGTGCTTCTTGAGTTTCAATTTCATCTTGGCGACCAGCAAGTGATGATCTGATGCTATATCAGCTCCTCTCTTGGTTCTCACGTCCTCTATAGTCCTCCTGAACGTTTTGTTGATGCAAATATGGTCGATTTGGTTTTGTGTGGTGTGATCCGGTGAAGTCCATGTGGTTTTGTGTATGCGTTTATGTGGGAATATGGTGCCGCCTATGACCAGTTTATTGAAGGCACATAGATTTGCAAATCTCTCACCATTTTCGTTTCTTTCTCCCAGTCCGTGTCGTCCCATGATGTCTTCATATCCAGTGTTGTCCGTTCCAACCTTGGCGTTGAAATCTCCCATCAGAATAGTCAGGTCCTTTGTTGGGCACTTCTCGACGATTGACTGCAGCCTATTGTAGAATTGATCTTTAGCGTCTTCATTGTAGTCGTTGGTAGGCGCATAGCATTGGATGATGTTCATTGAAATGCCCTCTTTCTTTGTTTTGAACGAGGCTTTGATGATCCTTGGTCCATGAGATTCCCATCCTATAAGTGCATTTTGCGCTTGTTTGGACAGCATCAATGCAACTCCTTGTGTATGTGGTGCATTTTCATCTTCATGGCCGGAGTATAACAGGAGCTCTCCTGTAGTTAGTCGTTGTTGTCCAACTTGTGTCCAATGTGTTTCACTGATCCCAAGTACCTCTAGGTTGTATCTTCTCATTTCTGCAGCAATTTGGAAGGCTCTCTCGGTGTCCCACATTGTACGAACATTCCATGTACCTAAATAAATGGTTACTCTGGTTGTCAGAAGGGGCATCGGCCTCGTAACTTCCGAAGGAATTCGGCTTTCATCATGAGGCGTCATAATTCTTCTAAATGAAGACCTTCTGACTCCCAGGGCAGAGTTTAAAAGGTTTGAATAATTTTTTCTGGTTAGCGTTTTTTTAGCGAGTTAGTTTTCTACGGGATGGGGACGCTAACCCCGCGCCCAACCCTCCTCCTTTATCCGGTCTTGGGACCGGCAGTAGCCCCCGGAGGGACTCCAGGCGGAGTTCACTAGTAGTAGGGTAATACTTTATTTATTTGTTTATTTAAACATATAAATATCGGTACAATGAGGCACCAAATATATATACGCCACACATCGTTATTCGGTTTGTTTGAGGACTGAAATGCTGCCCGGGTATAGTATTTGATATATCCTAATTATGCCATTAAATTTCACAGATACAGAGTTCTTAACCAATACTCATTATTTCGGTTTCTTGTTTACTTGAAAATATTAACCTCTACATTCTTATATTTAGACGATTATCGATCAGACTTGAGTAAAAATAAATAGTTTTGTAAATGAGAAGAAAATGTACTTGACTTGTTATCTGTTACTTGTTTTGTTTAAAATGATTAGTTTTATTAATAGGTTGTGTATGCAATCCTATAAATGTGTTTCATTATTTTCCCTCTTACTTCCATAGATGGTCTCAGTCTGGTTTAACAGATGGAGTGACACGAGTACAAAGATCCCAGTCGAAGCGTAAATCAAATATTCCAATGAAAACTTATCCAAAAAGTCAAGATAAAGAATCATTACTACAAGGAGTAGAAAATGCATAGTTTTATTCTAAATATATACTTCTCAATCCTTTCCCATCTAATATCAATCTACACTGCAAAACAGATAAAAAATAAAACGATTTTATGTGTATACACGTTTGTGTAGTGCTATTACTACTACTTCTTTTGCTACCAACTATGTGATTTTCTTTGGTTATCTTATTTCTGTTTTGCAGTTTTATAAACGTGTATAGTAAATATCCAAGTGTAGATGCGCATGTATGGGAAATTCGTCTCTATTTCCCCTCCCGCCCACAAAAACATTTCTGGTACTTTTCTGATCTTATATCCACTCATGTTGTTTTCCTAACAGACATTTTGTACACACTGTTTCTTCTTTTATGGTTATTGTTTTTTTCATACGATTATGTTCGTGTGTACGAGGCGTACTCTCTCTCTCATATAAATAACATTTATCACTTCAAAACCAAACTTTGAGAAAAATAAACTCATCTATCTTGTCATTTTTAAATAAAGCATACACAATGCATGTAAACTAATCATTATATTGGGTGGATTTAAAAAATACTCCACAATAAAACGACAAACAACGGTAAATTTTGATAGTGCGATAAGAAGATGAAGATTATCAGAATTATGTCATATACTTGCGCAATACATAGTTTTTAAGTACATTAGTGATCAGATTGTCTGAAATGTATTGCGCAAAGACATTACATAATTCTGATAACCTTTGTCTTCTCATCGTATTATCCAAATTTATCAAAGGAACTAATTGTTTTAGACAACAGTAAATTGTTTACATCAAAATGATTAGTTTTATTTTGTTTTACTCCCGGCTTTTGCCTTTTGATTGTTACTATCACTAATCCTGTAATAAGATGACTTGCAGTGCAGATTTTTATTTGTTCGTTTTCTTTTTTAGACCTCTTATCCATTTTCTTGTTTGCAGCAAAAAATAAAAGTAGCTTTAGTTTCTCACTTCCAATATCATATTAAAAATAATAGCTGAAATAAGATTTTGTTTGTATAATGCTCTGTTGTATTTTATTTATTTAAACACATAAACATAGGTACAAGAAAGAACCAAATAGATATGTGCCACATAAATCATTCGATTTGTGTGAGGGCTGGAATACTGACCGGGTACCCGAACCGAAGCAGGTATTTTTCCTAGGGGGCCACACCCCGAGCCTTTGATATGAAGGTCTAATCCACAAGGCAGTGGAGCAACGTAAGGAGATGCAGTCCCATGGTAGCCGGTGACCAACAAGAGGTTCATACGCCATTTATTCCTTCATGATACTGGAGTCTATGTGCACCATTGGTTTGGAATCAGGGTTTTCCAACTCCCCTAGGTGGATCTTCCGTACCCACCAACCCGGTTAAAGCGCCGGACATTCGCTTTTCGTCCTCTGAATTTCGTAAACAACGCCCCCGCTGCGAGAAAGCAGTGAGTAAGAGTTCCTTGATAGTGGCTGTATACGCGTGGTCATGTGAGAGCATTTGAAGAGGTAGAGCGGACTCTCTCCACCCTCTGCCGTACCAGGGCATTTTGGGGCTACGTATCGGGGTGGCATTCAAACCCACGTCCACATTGTGAACCAGAACACTTGAGTCTGACGCCTTAGACCGCCCGGCCACTCCAACGTTGTAATTAATTGATCACTGGACAATGACCAATCTCTTGTTTGTTTAGTCCTTTTGTACTGATTGATTAAGTTACGATATGGTTACTGGTCTAAATAACTCAACAAGGATAAGTGCATTAATATTTGATAGAGGTGAATAAAAAAATTCGGCTTCAGTCATAGCTTTATTTCTTTGTTCATCATTAGAAGTGCTCTTAATCTTTTTTTAGGTTTACACAATCGTTCAGTCTTGCATAGCACATATTTAATTAACAATGATTTATGAGGAATTTGTAAATAGCTCATTTTAAAAGTGAGTAATAAAAACCAATGGTTTTGTCAACAAATGAAACAAGTTCACTAGTATATTATCTGTTTATGTAAAACTGACGGACTCAAGTAATTTTCTTAGTGTATGAGATTATGTAACAAGTGACGATTGATATTTAAAGCTGAGATTTACTAAATTGATCAATGATAGGCAAAAATAACACCTGTGTGAAAATTCGAAACCCTCTTCAGAACTGCTGGAGCAAAATACTCTGGTGCACCTTATCATACTGAAGTTTTTTTGGCTATACTTTCGAAACTTACTGAGAAGAGTTCGAAATTTCTGTGAAAAGTTGTGGTATTCCTTTAAATCGAAAACATTTTATACGGGATTTTCATTAATAATATAAAGACAACCTAATGGTTTTCTCTTTTTAAGTTTTTGCTAATATTATCGGTATAATAAATTAACTCAATAGGAAATGGTAGAGTGTGTTTACAGAAATTAAGGCGTTTGAAATCAGACTCATTTCTTTACTTAACCAATTTAGAGAGCTTAACTATGCTCATTTACCAACACTAGACACAGAAAATATCTCTTCACAGTCTGATCAGGAATATAGTCAACAGATGTTGATGCTCCAAGAGAGATTCTCATGATGTTTCGAACATCTCAAAGAGTTCACATCTTACAACAATTTTCCAACCGCTTCACTGAGATAGTTAATTGTGATCTCCACGTGCGACTAACACATCGCGAAGTCGACAACAGCATAAACAAACTCATTACTGGTATAACATTGGTAGAGTTGGGACTTTCCACAAATATCTGCCCTTCTCTGTCAACCTGCAATCACTAACAAGTTGTCGTGTACAAAATTCAACAGTTTCAAATTCATATATTAGCGAACAGACTCAAATGTTGAGAAATGTTTATGCATTGCAAGAAGCGAAGTGATTCCCGGTCATTGCATACTAGTTATGAAACAGTGTATGTTTGCACATATCTTACTGATTTAGTAACAGTGATCATGATTTTTTGAGTAACCATTAGTTTTATTGTAGGTATCATTACCAAGGTTTGACTTGATAATTCCGAAAAAATTGAGCGTTGGATAAATTGTTAAAAATAAATTCATACATTTGTAATATCCCAATGAATATGAAAATTAAATTTTGTGACTCAATGTTATCCACTTCTTCTGAGAATAAATAATCAAATGGTTATTTATACACTGAGTCTTACTGAAGTAGTAACAGAGATCATCCCGATGATTTTTTGAGTAAATATTATTTTCCTTGACAGGTGATATATAGTACAGTATTCTAGATAAGATTTAGACGTTTTGAGTATGTCAGAGTGCTACATAACTCGGTTTATTTGGCTCTTTGACAAAATAATTGACTCGTTGGCTACCTAGCATCACAGAGTTATCAACAAAAGTGAAGAAAATAATTTGAATTAAAATTAAATCATCAAATTTATTATTTATGTTTTAACATTTTGAAAAAAGAAGAACAATTTCAAACTAGAAAAGAACAATAACATTAAATAAATGACAAAAAACACTAAACTGTCAAAATTTTACAATATTTATATCTTTTCTTATTACAATAAACACTGGAAAATAAAAGTTCTTTAATAAAGAAGCAATGGTTAACATGTATATTTATGCTCAATATATATATTCATCAATCCAATAAACTCCTAAATATTTGAAGAAATATATATTCAAAAGCAGCCTAACACATATAGGTTATAATATGAATATGCAAACATCCCCCGTCCAATATATGTACTTTTTTTATTGACTAACTTGAGGGGCAGGTATACCGAAACACTCAGTAATAGTTAGCAAAACATAGTCTGTGAAATATTGAACTGTAATAATAATACTTATTATAAAATCAGAGAATATATTTAGAATAAAGGTAAATTCAAAAAATTGCTATTTTTTTTAAGGTTGGTAATTAGGTAAATTATGTTGTATTTTTGCTTTTTTTTAAAAAAGAAAAAGAAGTTCTCAACATCATAATATTATGGTAATGGTATAAACCTCTTTTAGAATAGATGTAAAATAATCTTGAATTTGTTGAATTTTTTCTTACTTGAATTAATATAGAAACAAAAATTTAACATTGAATTGTTCAATAAAATTTGATTTTTGTATATATATATAATTAAGCATTTAAAGCGATAATATTTGTTTTAATTCATGTAACTATTATTGATTTTAATTATTCTAGATCTTTGAACCTCTTTTAATTATGATAAATAAACTAAACAACATTTATCCCAACATGAAAATAAAATACATTTTGGAAACAGTTTTGTTTTTGTTTTTTGTTTTACTTTTTTTTCAAAAATAAAATAACGTGGTTATTTTAAATTTAAAATTTAATTCTGATATTTTAATGTTGATAATAATTTGTTTGTTTGTTTTAATAAACAAAAGAAAGAGTAAGGATTATTATGTGAAATGTTTAGAGAAAAGAAAAGAAAAACAAACATTAAAAGCATAATTAATTTAAATAAAATAATGTTGACAATGGTTGTGTTCTCATACATACAACACATTTACTAACTGAATCTTGACTATTACGTACTTTAATGACAGTACCCATGACCATACCAAACATATGTTCATCCATAGAACTAGGCATAACACGTAACCAGAAATTTTTATGTTCTTCAAAAAATCCACATAAACCTTTTGCAGTACATTCAATAAACATATGAGATCGAAATTGTGGTAAACAACTACCTGGAGATGCTAATTGTTGTCCTCCACCTTGTGCTCCATAACCAGTATTCTAAAATAATTAAAAAATTGTTTATAGTAAATATATTTTTATTTAGTACTCAGTATACAGTGTAAATTCAGGAATATTATATGAAAAGAACTATTTAATTGACTGAAGATAGTTGATTTTACACTTTAAACAATTATAGTACTAGCTGAGCTGTTTGGATTTCAAATTATCTTCTGTACGATTGAAGAGTTTTCTGGTCACTTAATACTTACTTGAATAATATAACCTTATCTTTAATTTTTCAAGTTGTAATACGAAATTGCAAAACATGTGAAAGTTAACAGGTGAAACCCTAAAACTCCTTTTCTTGACAATAAAAAATTCTGAGGAAAATTCCTAATCTTTCCCTTTGGTTCATTCAATATAACAGGTAATAATTAAATACGATTTTATAAAAGATATCTTGAATAATTTTCTCTTTATTACAAACATATCGAAACAATTACTACAGTGACCGAAGTAACTGGTAGGTTTCTCACAAAACAGATCCTAATAGTCAAGTAGAATTGATTTCAGTAATTGGAACCATTAGGCAGCTCATTGAATATCAATTAAGGAAGTGATGATATTATTGAGCTTTCAGCTATGATTGACAGGCTTGAGAGAACAAGTGAATAGAAAAGGTTTAAAATGAAGATCATAAGGGAATCAATGAGTTTGAGATAGTGGAGAAGATTTGTAGCTCAGGTGAATGATTTAGGTGATGTTTTGTTCTTTGAGCTGGATGCTTTGGTCGTGGAGCTTTCATCGTTTTTCTGAACGACAGCATCAGCACAAACTTCAGGTAGAAGTGAAGTGTTCGAATTTCTGCACATATGGTTCATACTACATAGGACAAAGCGGACAGCCTCTTCATCAATTAGCGGTCAAACGCCATGATATTTCCTCACTTATATCAATGCACGTGGACAACTGCGGACACACATTCGACTGGAAAAATGTGGAAATCTTGGATAGAGGCAATTCTAAAAATACCAGGAAATTTTTAGAAGCTTGGCAATCAACAAGCACATTGAAATCGACCCAATTTATCAACCAATCAGGAAAATTATGGACAAACATATGACCAAAAATGAAATCAATGGGAGATGCAACAAAAACAAAGAAGTAAACAATGACAGGTTTAAGGTCAACAGAAACCAATCACATTGAGGTCTACAGGATAAGCTGTGAACCATTTATGGAGAAATTCGAACACTTCACTTCTACCTGAAGTTTGTGCTGATGCTGTCGTTCAGAAGAACGATGAAAGCTCTACGACCAAACCATCCAGATCAGAGAACAAAACTCCATCAA